TGAATGTGAGAGTGACTGAATAGTGGCATTGTAAAGCGCTTTGGGTGCCTTGAAAAGCGCTATATAAATCCAATCCATTATTATTATTATTATTACATGTATCACACATATATCCTGATAATAAGAATAATATAATGTAATGACAATCTAAATGCAATGTTAGCTGTCAAATCAAAGAGATTTCTGAAGATTTACAACCTGTAAGAAAACCAAAAAAAAAGTGCAAATCCCATGTAAGTTAAGTTTTTCTAATACTGTAAACTTATGACATTTTAGAAACACAATCACCTTCATGGGGATTTTGGTATCATGAATTGGTATCATGATTCTTTACTTCCCCCTTTTCTTTTTCCTGTACTATTTCCATGAGATTCACAGCAAAGTTTCTGATCAAAAACAATGTCCACAATAACCATCCATGGCTCACCACCGCCAGCGTCAAAGCCTTCCTATAACATTGGGCACTTCAATTCTCCATCGTTTTTCTAATTTTTTGGATAAAGTAATAGTTCATTAGTTGCTAGTGTTCCACTCAGGAGGAGCAAAAGCAGCCCTTGTTTTTAAGTTTTGCATAAAACATGGTAGTTGTACTAAAACCTAAAAAATAAGGTAGATCAATAAATAATAAATGGTAAGTAATAAAACAAACATTAGCAAGTGTAGTTAGAATAGTGGCTACAAAGACGACTGTATTATCAGTATGATTAATCTAATAGAAGCAATGGCACATAACAAGTAGCAAAAACATTAACAATAGTTCCCAAAAGGTTGATTCTGTTCATCTGGACGTAGCGTTTTCAGTGGGAGAAACATTTCATCACTCATCCAAGTGACTTCTTCAGTATCAGCTGACTGCAGGTTTGCCCAATCTTATAAACAGAATCAACCTTTTGGGATTTACATACATGTGTGAGCATGCATCAAGACATTAACAATAGCTGTACCAGCAGAAGCAGTACCAATATTGTTATTAATATTTCCTAAATACCATTAATACTGATATTTCCTAATAACTACAACACAAGTGTTTGGCTCTACATATCTGTTTTTATCATTCATTTGGGCTGCCTGTTATTTTCCAAAAGGTTTGTAACTCCTTCCTAAAACTAACCAGGAACTTTCATCTGTTATGCAAATGTGTCAACATTCACATAACATATGCATAACAATCATAACAGTCCATCTTAAAATCCATCTGTTATTATGGATAAACAATTGCATAACAGTCATTATTCTAGTGGCACCATGGTGTTTCTAATTCTAATTCATGTGGTTGTCAAGGTAACTATTGTAGAAGCAAGTGGTCGCATTGGTGGACGGGTTGAAACCTACAGAAATGAAAAAGATGGGTGGTATGCTGAACTGGGGGCCATGAGGATCCCAAGTTTTCACCGGTAAGGTTTAACTACACAGATTAAATCCACTGAAGACTTGCATTAAATCAAAAGGAAAACCTCGCAAACATGTGTTTTCCTTATCTTTAACCATCTGGGATCATACATATCTAACTCTGCTACCACTGACTTTGTCTTCCTACAGAATTGTGCAATGGTTTGCTGATGACCTAGGGGTCAATTTGAATGAATTCATCATGGATAACCCTAACACCTTTTACCATGTTAATGGAAAGCGGAAAAGAACATTTGCAGCACAAGCAAATCCCGATGTTCTTGGGTACAATGTGTGGCCAAGTGAAAAAGGGAAGTCAGCAGATGAACTCCTTCAGCAAGCTTTACAGAAGGTGAGAAAAAAGGAAGAGAGTCAAACGTCTCTGGCATAAAAGAGTTGGATTGAGAAACATACAGTAGCTAATTCCTCCAGTTATTTAATTTGCAACTTTTGCAAAAATGGAACCCTTTTTCATCATTATTGACCACATAACACGTCACTGACCACTAGCACAAAAAAGGGAATCTCAGAGTGGTTAGTGATGCATGAACATGTATGTTTCCTTGAATTTTAAACTGTTCAAATCATTAAAGCAGTTAAACTAAATTAAGCACACTCAAATGCATTTAAACATTTTCTACTCAACACTATGTAACATGACAAATGTTTTGACTGAAGATATTCTGAAAAGTCAAAGCAAGAAATTAAAATTGATTTCACCAACTG